GAGATGTAGGTCAGTGTGAAGGCCCTAGGTTTAATGCCTAGTACTGTAAATCATTTTGCCTTAACTTCAGCCAAATGGAACTTGGGAATGGTCGTCCTTGTACTTGCTTGTTGTCTTGCTTCTCTTTATCTGTGTTTGTTCCTTTCTCTGCCTGAATCTAACTCCATCTTTCTTTTTTCCAATTCCTCAGTCTTTCTCAGATCCCACTTGTAGCTCTCTCTTTCCTTGACCTTTATTATGACCCTTGTCTTATTAAGTAATTAACTGTGTGCTTGTCTTAGTCTCTTTGTTCAGTTGAAATCTTTATATAAAAGGAGGGTCTTCCTGTGGTACTTAGCAATGCTTAATGTAAAGAAGATACTCCAGAAAGACATGCTAAACCAATTTGAATTGATCAAGATCAATGGAGAAAAATTTTGAGTATGAGAGAAATTCATTACATTAAAAGATTTCAGATACTACCTAGGGCCAAGAACATTTTCTCACTTGTATGAATTTTTAAAGATTTCATAGAATTGTGGTGAACAGTCTTTAATTTGAGCCAGTATAAAAAGGTAGCTTTTTAAAATGAAACATTTTGTTCACATATATATCTGGAATCTTAAGGTCTTTTTTTATGTTGGAACCCACCCACCCTGAAAAACTAAATAGTATTGGGTCACTTTTACTGAATGAAAGTGATCTTGACTACGTCTTAAATATTCATTGTTTTTAAGTGTAGATTTAAATGTTCACTAAAATAGATCACCTACATTTAGAGCCCACCAAGCTCCTTGAAGGAAGTCTGATGGATTCCAGCAGCTCCCCGGGATGGCGTTCCCAGTGTACATTGTACTTCGAGTGTTGCTTCATTTTACTGTCCCAGCAGTCTGTGCAGAGTAGTACGGACACACATAGTTACTTTAAATCTGCAAAGAAGTAAACTTAGATTTAGCAAGCCAGAGGGAATCTTGTCTATAGCAGTAAATGGTGGAGTCATTTTAAATACAGGTTAGAAGTGAAAAGGATTTGGGATTGATGTTGTAAAACTGCAAAGATGAGTCTATTTTCCTAAGTAGTATATGCCTTTGGAACTCAGAACCGATTTCTTGTGTCCTGTAATGCCTTACAACGAATGGTATCACACTCTTTCTGCCATTTGTTTCTCAGATTGCTGACTTTCTGCTTTAGTGTTTGTAGTCAGGAGATAACCTGCTTGTGAAAAAGTAGCAGATTCTGTCTGGATGAGTGTCACTGTACTTCTCTCATGGGCCTCTCTTGATCTACGTAACACTCTGAACAAGTGCATCTTTGGATAGTATGGCTTGCTTTGAGGCATTGCTCATCAGAGGGTTTGGAACACTTAATTATTCATTATCCTCGCTATCCTTTCTGTGACCATTATTCTATAATTACAGGCAATGAATAAGTTAAGATATAGTTCATGAAGAAAGTATATCATTCTAAGATAAACTGTCCTACATGATTCACTAGGTTTGAACTTCTGGGTAAAAGGAGCATTGAATAGGCTGTTGCTGAGAATTTGCTGTGTGCAAGAGCTGTGTTAGTGTAGAACTACAAAAGTACAATTCCTATTAAGGTGAGATCAAGATGGCCTTGAGTTTAAAGACATTAGGTTTTATAAAACCTGTATTTGCTCAGATAAGAAATCAGTTACGTTCTAAATTCTGGTGAAGCTTTTGTTATTAAATTAACCCATCCTTTCAAATGTATGCATGTTTTGCCCAAATCAGGAACATTCTTAAGGAATTTGTGGTTGACTGTCTGCAGGTACCTTATAGTTTGAAGATTAGTGTAAAGTGATTTTTAGTTTTTAAAATCCATTTAGTTAATTTGGATCTTTGTATGTAATATGGTATCATTTGTGCTGCTTGTAGGGAGGCTGCATGGTGGGTATAAGAGAGTTGGCTACGGCATCAGGAGGCCTGACTTTTACTCCCAACTTTGTCAGTTGTCAGCCACGAGCCCTTCTCAAGTGACCTAACTCCTCTGATATTGTCTTCTCACCTGTAAAATAGGATAGTGGCACCTTCGATGCAGAGCTGCTAAGACATTGTATTGGCCCTTGGGAGGTACCTGGTACCCCACAGGTACTCAGCTCATCTCTAGGCTGCAATGCTGCTGGAATGATATATCTCATCCCTTAATGCTGAACATTACTGCTGTTCTCTCAACTTTGATCCAAGCTCCACTTCCTGAACTGCAGGCCCACAGATTGAGCTGCCTCCTGAACATCTTCATCCAACACCTTGGTCCCTGGCTCTGTCACTGGCTCTGATACATTGCCCAAATGAGAAACGAGTGATTTTAGAACTCTCTGACCTTTTCACCTGGCCCTAGACAACTCTACATTTGTAACTACCCCTGGGGACCTCATTGCCTCTGTCTACTTTTTCTGACTTGGTGACTGTAATTGTACCATAACCTGTCTCCCTGGCACTATCTAGCATCCTTACCCTGAAGTCAGTTCATACCAGTACCAGAGAGATCTCTGGAATCAAATCTAGTCTTCAGGATTACAGCCTCAAATCCTTAACTAGTGGTTCTTGTCTTCTGTGTAAATTCCAAACTTTCATTTAGGTCCTTCTTGATCTGAACCCCTTTTTTTTTCTTATCTGCCCCTCCCCCTGTTCTTTCTCCACATAGTAGAGTGAATTTGTGATTTCCACATTGTCTCGCTTTTGCACTTTTATATTTATTGTTTTCTCTGCTAAAATATTCTTTCATTGACCTTCTACTTTGGTGTTATTCTAGAAGGTTCATGCATGATGTTGCCTCTCTCCAGGGATCTTTTCGACTCCCTCCCATGCTAGACTAGGTGTTTTCCCTGGATGCATATCCCTTTTTCAGCTACCAGATTGCCATGAAATACCAGGTTCAGTGATTATCTCTGCCCCAGCCTCCCTTCTCAGTCTGTTGGTCACTGAAAGAGTATTTTAGTCACTTCTTCATTGTTGGGACAAATACTCAACACCTGCAACCTAAAAGAGGAGAAAGTTTTTGTTTGTTTGTTTTGTTTTTTGGGGGGCGTTTTGGCTCATGTTTTAGAAGTTTCAGTTCTTACATGGATAGTAGCATGATGGAAGGGCCTAATAAGAGAGGAAACTTGCTCATGTCATGAGAATGAGGAGGTAAAGAGTGAAGGAAGGATCCAAGGAGGGGGATAACACCCTACCAGATCACGTCCCAGTAACCTGTCTCTTTCAAACAGACCCTGCCTCCAAACATGAAGTCAGCTATAACACCCCTTTATTCCAGTCACCTTTCAAAAGCTCTGACTGTGAGCTCATAGTCTTTGGGGAGGACATCTAGAAATATACCATAACATTCCACCCCTGGCCCCCAAAACACTCATGCATGTCTCTTTATGCAAAATGCATTTTGTCCATCTCTAAGAGTTGCTAAAGTCCTAACAGTTTCAGCATTGTTGAAAAGCCAAAGTTTCTTCTGAAACTCAAAGGAAACTCACGTGTGAGCACCTGTAAAAATAAAAAAGAAAATAAAATACCTCCAACATACACTGCCATAAGACGGACATTCTTATGCCAAGAGAAGAACAGGGAATAGAAAGGAATGTTACCAAAGCAGTATTGAAACCCAGCAAACATTAAATCTTGTAGCTCCATGACCAATATCTAGGCAAGTTGTAGTCAGACATGAACTCAAAACAGCTTGGGCAGTGCCACCCCTACAGCACTGCCTGCAGCAGCCCCCATGACCTCTATCTTGGTGTTGCTTTGTTCATTGCCTGCTGCTTTCCTTAGCTTATGCCCCACATTCCTGGCATCTCTGACTTCCTGGGGTCTCCACTGCACTTTTGGCTTTATTCACCCAGCATCATGTGCTGCCATTTCAGGAGTACACTGCCTAGCCTCTCAGGCCTTCTTCTGAAATCTCATCAGAAGCCTTCCTGATTCTACGACTCATCAATTCTGCATGCATATAGAACCAGAACCATGTAGATGATGCCAACATCTGCCATTAGCTGGAACAGTAGACAGACTCCTTGAATCAAGGCTGCAGTGGACTCTTTCTTGAGTGTTTGGATGGATGAACAGTGTAAATGAAATTCTAGGGAATCCGTTCTCCTTAAGCAGAGTGCTTTAGGGCTGTCTTTTCAAAACAGTCTTTCACTTTTGAAGCTTTGAACATGCAAGGGTGGGGTCTTGCAGTTTCCCAGAATACCCTCAAGACATCCTTTCTATTGTCCTGCCGCAGATAACTTGGTTTCTTTTTTTCAGCAACCAAGTTCACCTCTGTTTCAACTGTTAAGGACTCCAGTGTCACAGGAGCTTCTTTTCTTGTGAAATGCAAAACTTTTAAAATCACTCAGCTGTGTTGTATGTTCCTGTTTGTCAATATAGAGCTGGCTAATGTCCCTAACAGTACCCATGCCACAGCTTGAATACTGGGCTGCCTTAAAATTTCATCTGCTAAAATGAGAACCAAGACCTGTCATGTAAAGGTATAAGATCCCAATGATGAATGTAACTGTACTGTATACCTAAAATATACCAATAAACTCAGTGAGAACAAAAAATGTAAAAAAACAATTCATCTGCCGGATTAATTAGTCCACCTCCCTTAATGTCAGCCTCCCTTCAAAGACTCAGTTCATGAACAAAAAATAGACAAATTTTCTGCCAGAGCAAAATACACGTTGCCTGGAATCCAACTGCCAGTGGAGTGCTTGTTCTCAACTGAAACATTCTGAGCCCAGTCTTTATGGCCTGCATTTCTGTCAGAATTCTCCTCTTTTGAACTCCAGTCATAATCACCCATCAAATTCAGCTTGCAACATTCTGAGGTTCCTTCTCCAGTCAGCATCTCTAAGCCTTTCTAAATTCCTCCCACAAACCAATTCCAAATACTTCTAAACCACATGATTAGGTATAGTCACAGCAACAGCTCCACTTCTCTGATACCAAAATCTGTCTTAGTCACTATCTTGTCCCTGGGATGGAATACCTTGATACCCACAATTTGAGGAGAGGTTTGTTTTGCCTCACATTTTAGAAACTTCAGTCCTTGCATGGTCAGTGGTGTGGTGGAAGACCTGGCAGAGGAAAGCTGCTCACATCCCAGCAGTGAGAAGCAGAAGGTAGAGGGAGCAACCAGGAAGGGAAATGCATCCTACAAGATTGTGTCCCCAGTGACCTGCCTCCAAACATCAGGTGAGCTGTAATGTCCCCAAAATCCAGTCACCTCCCAAAACCACTGACTACAAGCACCTGAGTTGTTGGAGGGACATCTAGATATAAACCATAACAAAGGGGGTCGGGACTTTCATCCTTTCATTTCTGTGATATGAAACGTATGAATGAATCCCCATCAATTACCTCTCTTAGTTCAGTCTCTTAGGTGTCAGATGTTTCAGGATTTTATGCATCTCTATTGTCATATTTTTGACCCAATAAAATAGGAGTCCCATGTAAAATCTATGCCACTGTATAAATCACTGTGACTGAGCTACAGCATAGTTACCTTACAGTCTAATGGACTTGAGTTTGCATTCCACTTTACCCTTTCAGTATTCTGTCATCTGGCTTCAGATTCCCAATTCCTAATTGTGCTGTCAAGAAGGTAGGAACTGGTTAAAGACATAGGAACATCAAGATTTGGTGGTGGTTGTTCTCATGCATTGTCAGTAAGACAGGTATATACATCAAGCTTCTGGGAACTTCATTAGCATGAGCCACTGACCTTGACTCCAGGCAGTTCTGAGGCCTAGATGAAACCATATTGCTCTGAGAAACTTGGTGAATTCATTGGAGATAAACATAATCCTATGCGACCACTGGCAGCTGGATATCTAGCTTTTTGACACCCTTTCTTTCTAATTCCTAAAGTTTTAAGTGAAAAGTTCATAGCCACAATTTATAAAAAAGATTTTTAGGAGCTTGAAGAAATCACATGGCTCCACTAGACCAATTCTGTAATAGTTTTTAAAAACACAGCTGTCTGCTCACCCCACCCCCTCTTCTTCCTCTGAATACTTAGATTCACTAGGACTCAGTCGGGGTCTCTGCAGATATTTACTAAGCCTCAGTGATGACCATGGAGAGCTGCAAGGTAGAAGATTTCAAGAAGGTACTAATAGTGACTGTCATTAGGAAAGGTTGTGGGTCTGGAGTGGTCTGAGGAGCTGTGCCCCTGCTTCTTCCTTTGCTTCCTGGCGAAATGTTCATGGACCCAGAATGACTTGCTTTTTCTAGCTCATTTCTGGAATTTGTAAGTGCCAAAATTCACCAAGGCTTTTTTGTGAAACTGCCTTTATTAGCCCACAGTGATACTAAAAAGTTAAAATGGATATGTCTGTACTTCTGAGTTGCTACACCTAAATTAAAATGAGCTTAAAGGATGTATTGAGAACTTGTAGTTGAGAGTGGCCTGTGACACTGGAAGTGAGCCCAAACTGGGGAGCCTTAAAGAAGCAAGGAAGCATGGTCAGGTACTGCTGTGGCTCAGCCCCAGTCCCCCCAATCCCAACTGTTATTTTGGCAGTGGTTTTGCACATCTACCAAGTGAGCCACAATCATTTCTGTGTTACATTCTGAGAATTTCCAGTGCTACTTAATGTAGTTCAAAGCAACAGAGGGTTAGGAAGTAGCCACTTCACTGTAATCTAACATTTTCTATCAAACTTGAACAAATTTTGATGTTGGGAATCTATGTCTTAAACCAAGTGTACACCCACTAATATCTAGTTTTTCTTTCAGGTCCCCAAAGTGACCAACAAAGCCTCCTGTAAATTGACCTCACTACCTCCCCAATTTTTCTCCTTATTCTTTAGCCCTCAGTTCCTCTGGGATTCATGCTGTTTGTTCCTTAGACCCACCAGGCATACACTTACCTGAGGTCCTCTGCATGGGATGTTACCCCCTGCCCAAATTGCATATAGTCATGCCCTCCTTCCTTTTAAGGTTCTTCTCAGGTGACTCCAATGTCAGTGAGTCTTTTTTGATCACCTGACATCCCCCATAGCCTCTGCATTCCCTATGCCCTCACCCTACTTTATATACCCACCTGACATTCCGTTTCTATTTTATTTTTGTTGTTGTTATTTAGTCTCTTCAATAAAATGGGATCACTAAGGCAAGAACTTTTCCTCTTTGTTCACTGGTAATGTATATCCCTAGGACCTAAAATAGTTCCTGGCACATATTAGACAATTAAATACATATAATCAGTGAATTATACATTTTTTTCTTTCAGAGTGGACTTTTTAGATCATCAACCAGCCTTATTATACACATTGGAAAACTGAAGCACAGAAAAGTTCTATGACTACCTAGAAATGAAACTAAATTATTTAACAACCATGAAAATTCTTTTTTAAAAAAAAAATCTAGAAATATTTATTGTACATTCTGATCAGTTAGCCAGAATGGATCATAAGACAGAGAATCAACCAGCAACTGAAACATTTAACAAGAAGAGACAAGTTACTGTGTGATGGCAAACCTTTTTCTGATGTTCTCTTCTCATCTTTATAGCATAAGTACACCTTGAATGTAATTAGTGCTCAAGAAAAAAATGTATTGCTGGATTTGATTGTTATAGGCCTGTTTTTTTCTCTAGAACCCTTCTGCACTGCTATGTTTTTCTCCTCTCCCCAAATAGACAGTTGTTCTTCTGACTTCTTGAAAGTTCTTTTAGTTACACATACCAAAGATACTTGCATTTAGTTGCAAGCTAAGAGACTTGTTTTGTTGAAATTACTTATGAATTCTGAAAAAATCAAAGAGGTGGCCTGTTCTTTAGGAAAATCCAGGGATAATTTAGTACAGTTTCCCACATGCATCCACATGGAATAAAGCAAGGAACTAACATTTCTAGCTCTCCACTTGTGAAAGAACCAAGTTAACAAGCCATGATGATTTTGATAACTTGGAGAATTCTGACCTCAGTGTTATTTATGCTTACATAGACATCCCTGGAATCTTTTTTTTTTTATATTAAAAAGAAATTGTTTCTAAGTAGCATAATGTTTAGATACACAATAGTTTGTGAGTAGGACCAATTAATTTTCTCTAAAGAGAAAGAAAGTGAAGCATAGCTAATGTTTGTAGTGAACTGAAGTAAACCCTACAGATGGAGCAAGATCACTACTTTGACTTTAGTTGGAAGCTGTGAAAATACAGGCAGAGTCTATTTAGTCACCAACTATAAATGATCCCTGAAAGTATAGCCTGAAGCAGGCAGAGTCTATTTAGGAAGATATGGGAAATGAGAAGGCGAGGTAGGCACACCACATGAAATGAAGAAGAAATCTTTGTTTGTCTCTGTTGTGTAGATTTTAAAATCTACTCTAGTGTGTCTTCAGATATCCTAAATAATCTGGATGATGTGCTGCCTGTGTTTCACACTACAGGGAGATGATTCTCAACTAATCGCCTGAAGACTCTTTCAAACCATGTAAGTCCCCTAGAAACAAATGTGCATCCCCAAAACAGAAAACAAAGACTCCTAAACTCCACCCTCACCCAGTTACTGACTTAAGTTCTGTTGCACAGGCCACTTTTCTCCTCTGCTGTCTCCTACTGGTATGTGAAATCCTGTAGTTGGTTGTGGGGCCCATTAATATCTATGTTTCCCTATCATAATGCAGTTTAGGAAGATTCAACTCTGAAAGGAAAGGCAACTTAGTCAGAGCTAAACTTTGCTAGTGACCCTGAGAGGAAAATCGTATTTTTTTCTTGATCATTGGCATTAAGCTACCTAGATTGCCTATTCCAAACATCTCTACAAATCTCTCTGTGACCAATAAACACCACAATGAGGCATCCCTCTTGAGTGTTCATGCTAATCTTGAATCTTTCACTGTCCACTGATGTGTGGACCAACTTAGCCAGCATGATGGTTTAAGATCCATCTACACCTTGTACACAGTCTTTCTCACAATATCCATTTTCAGGATTGCTGCCTGAGCTTGCAAATTCCATCTGGATCCTGTATAGCCATGCTCACTTGTTCAAATGTGGATTTGATGTAAGCTAATTGTTTTTTTATCTTGCTGTAACCAACAAGGCTTTCAATATACACAAGCCTAGCACCAAATTGTGTAATGCATTTTAGAGCAGTGTGTCATTCATGTAGGAAGAATCTTGTACACTGGAATTCTCAAGTGCAGATAGAGGCCAAGGGCTGTCCCAGCCCCTCTAGGCTTATAGAACTGAGTCTCATCCACATTAATATCCCAGTCAACCCCTTGGAGATGAGAATATTTGTTCATGAGAGGCCATCTTGGTTTCATTTAGTATGGCAGACAGGCAGTTTACAAATGAAGAAATTCTTATATTTAGCAGACTGGTGGGAAAGTTGTCAACTTTACTAGCTGTTGAAGAAATGTCGAGATTGGCTTTTTAAATCTCTTGACTTGGTAGAATGTGAGAATGAATTATGTTGCCTGGTATGGGCACCTCCATTTCTGCTTCAGAGATGGATCATTAGATTGATACTACAGCCTTTTCCAGGTATCCTAGTATTGTGTAACAAAATGAAGACTTGGTTCTCCTCAGCCAGCTTCCTGCTTCTACTAACTGAAAGCTAGGAATTAATATTTAAGGGAATGGATTAAGGACCTAGTAAAGCTATGTGTACAAGAGTTGCAGCATTGCTTGAATAGTAATACTGTACATGGAAATAGCCTAAGTATTTTAATATGTATTGAAATAAATTGTTATATATCTGATTAGTAGGTTTTTATGTTCTAGTAAAAAGTGATGTAAAAGACCATGACTACTCTGTTACTATACCTGTGATGCACTGCTGAGTGAAAAAAATTTTTGCAGAACAATGTGGCATCTGAAATCTATTTTGGGGGTAAATCCAGATTCATTAAAAAAAAGGTGAATAGAATTCTGAATAATGGTATTACAGAGGACTTTTATTTTCTTCTTTTTGTTCACTTGGCATTTTCTGTCATTTGTACAATGAGCATCTATTTCTTGTTATAATATTTTTAAAGTTATCACTACTCAGGAATGTGTGGTTCAACAACACATTGGTGTCCTCCTGGGATTGGAAGGGAAGGAAAGATGAGAGGTAGGATGGGAGACAGGTGGGAGACAAGAGAGAGAGAGAGAGAGAGAGAGAGAGAGAGAGAGAGAGAG